TCTAAGTGTACTGTCATGAACTTAATACTTGATACTAATTGAGACCTGAAGAGTCTGAGATGGTTTTTTGCACTCCCTCTAAATACTGCAGTTTGACTTTGGGATGAATTTATTGGGGCGTTCAGTCCTGGGAACAATGTTTTTCACTGACTGTAGAACGATGGATGCAGGTTGTTGGGAGATTCCCTTCTAACCCTTCCCAGAATAATGGCAGCAACATTTACTTCTTTAAGATTGTTGTTGTGTTTCCTACTTGTGGCATTGTGTCAAACATCTGAATGCTTCAGCAAACTAACAAAACTTTTTAGATGTGCTCACACTTGCTCAGTTAATCAAGTGTATTTGATTAGCGGCACCCGGGTGCTACTTTACCCATTTTACTTTACCCCTGCACTCATATATATATATTTGAAAAATAAACCCTTCTCTAGATATTAGGTAGAAACCCTAGTGTTCCCAAATAAAAAACCACTACATGCAAAACTTTTCCAATTTTCCAAGCCATTAATATTTTGCTTGTGCATTACTGTTACACATAGATGACAATAAAATGAATTGCAAAAGTCTTAACATTTATAAATATTATAAAACAATATCAAAATAAAAATGATATTAATGTGCTTCAAAGGACTAAGAACAGTACCTCTCTGAGCAGATCCTGCTCCAGGTTGTGGCGTGACAGCAGCATCTTCCTCTTGTACTGGCGACACTGCACCTCATAATACTGCCTCTGCCTCCGCAACAGACCCGCCTCTTCCTCAGCCTGCCGCTGCTGCAGGCACTCCTTCTGATGCACCAACCACTCCTGTTTCTCCCGCTTTGGCGTTGACTGATTCTCGTTCAGTTCCTTGAGAGGAATAACAGCAGCGTTTAGCTCGGCTCGCCGTTTGTGCAGCATTATACTTACCCGTCAAAATGAACTGATTGCAGGTGGAGTCATGAAAAATAAGACACTCGTATATTTGTTGAAACATAATGCGACAAAACTCAGAAGCACCTCTTTGAGCTGCTCTTTGCGCTGGCGATACTGTCGTTTCTGGGAATCCAGCAGGCCGGTCAGCTCCTTCTTTTGCTGCGTCAGAATGTGCTGCTGGAACTTCTTCTCCTCCGACACGACCGCCTTTCCCTGGAGGATAAAAGCCCAAAAACATTTACAATTAGTGATTATTTTATCGATATTGAGTCTTATCAGTGCTCTTACTGAGACAACTCTCTGTATGCTGGTGAGAGAATGAAAACTTCTCAATGGCTGCTAAACTTTGGAAAGATCATCAACTTCATATGAAGCAGGCATGTGTACACTGAGCAATGTGAAAGTATTGACTAATATTAGCAAGACTAACAACACAGTGAGTATCAGAACCACACACTGTTGTTTGACATTCATCACATATATTTGAATTTATTATATTTCTCTGTGATCCTCGCTCACCTCTTTCTCCAGGATACCCTGGTGCTTCTTGGTGAGTTTTTCTCCTTCCACTGAGAAGCTGTTCCTCAAATTCTCCAGCTCTTTGTCCAATCTCAGCTGATGTTCATCCATCTCGGCCTTCAGCTTGTTCTCCAGGCCCATCAGCTGCTTCTGGTGCTGACGCCGCATTCGCTTATACCTGTGAGGAGAAACACGGTTACCGAATGGCTAATAATCAGCAAGCATTACTTAACTAAGCATTTGAAGCCCTTTGTTTTCTTTTATTTGTATAAAGTTCAAAAACATGTGCAAATACACTCGTTTTGATTGTCCCGTAACACCATCAACAATTCACAACTGTGACCTCACCCGGACATCTGCTCTCTCAGTGCAGAGCCCTGCTCGTGTTCCTGGATCTGACGGGTGACCAGTGAGGCGGTCCTGATGGTGGCAAAATGGTCTCGGCCTCGTCGACGTCTGCCCCCTCCCCCTCCTCCTCCACCACCACCAGCAGATGCAGCTTCTCGCTGAGAATCAACCTCTGGCTGATAGGGATCGTCATAGATGTTGTCATGGCTCTACAAGGTGGACAAAATTAGAGCAATTAAAGGTGGTTACAAATGCAAAGTTTTATCTCAACTCAATGTCATCCTACCGCTTCAAATAAATGAAACTAATTATTGCCAATGCAAAAGCTCCCAGGAGGCTGCTCGCTTAGCAAGTCTGCTACCAGGCATTTGTTTTGTAGGTGCCACATTGCCAATCTGCTGTGCATCTGGTTCTGCTTTTGCCTTCCTTTTCCTGTAGGTGGCACCAGATTGCGCTTATAAAACTGGTCAAGGGGAAACAACAGAACAGCTTCTCCTTTGGCTCATCCAAACTACAATAAAAAGGTAAAATAGCCCAACTATAAGTACCACTCGATGCTTTTAGCCCGAAAGTCACACGTCTCTCAGCAGATACACACCAGACTCACACTTAACACTGCAAGCCTGAGTTTGGGGGGGCCCCAAACCCAAACAAGCCCCAAGTACCCTTGGTCACCTGCTTATCCAGGTGAGTCACGGCAGTGA